TCCCTCTAATTCAGCCTTGTTAACCGTTGTCATTTTTAAAATTGAGAACTATTTCTGGAAACAGTTTAAATTGTTATTGCCAGGAGCGGTTGGGTTTCTTGGGGTTTTATGGAGTCCTAGAATATAACTAATTGGAAACACTGGCTTCACAAAAGAATGCTTTAGCACAAAGTCTTGACTCATATTTTCCCGCGTACCTTGGTTCTATCAGAATAGTTACTGAGAAACGGCCAGAAGAAATGTCAGTTTGTGTTATTTGTTCAGGTTAATTTGGTATGGATGTTTCGGTTCCACTGGCTCCAGGGAATACAATATTTTTAAAAGATTCGGTCTTTTATTTGGCCACGGTTTTGTGCTTATCGAGTAATGGGAGACAACAGAAAGATCACTGAGAGCCAAGTCACACCTGCCTTCTAGCCTGTTGTGGCAAAAGCAGCAGAGTTTTGTTGAAAGTCTAACAACACATGAGCACATCTGATTTGTAGGCCAGAGCATATTTCATCAAGTGCATTAAAGCTGGCCGTTTCAGGTGCGTAACCATATTAGTCAGTAGTACCACAAAGAAATTCAAGTACACGAGCAACTCTGAGATGAGAAAAATTTCCCAGGGTATAAGTTTTCATGAGTCATAGCCAATGTTCCCTCTAAGCTGTGGAGTCTTGTGAGCAAAAATTCTACTTTGTGAGCTACTGGCATTAAAGTTGTGAGCAAGCGATTTGGCTCCTGCATAAATTAGTTTGCTCTGGAGCCCTCCTTCCTGAGCTAAGACAAAAACGTATGAGCCGGAGGCTAAAAAACTGTGAGCTAGCTCACACTAACTCAGCTTAGAGGGAACACTGGTCATAGCTCACTTTGTCCAGTACAGGTTAGACTGAAGATCCTTCTGTCAAGCTCGGGCCTCACGTGCCATAGAATGCTGTCCAGGCAAACCCATGTTCTGTTGCGTTAAGGGTTAACTGCTTTCTTAAACAGGCTTCTTTCACTGCCTTATCTCCCATGCCGTTTATCTTCTCTGCCAGGATGGGGGGGGGAGTGAATGCTGTGGTGAATGTGTGCTTGAGCTTGTGTAGTATGTACGGGACCCTGGGAAGCGCATGATCTCAGCTTCTCGCCTGACCTTGGGATGTAACGGTTAGTTTGCCGGTGTTGGGCCGGGCTGGAGGGTAGGCCTAGAGGTTTGGCGGGCTGAGTGCAAACATTGATTGGGTGGTTTTTATAGAGGGGCTGTCCTGTTTTTTGTATAGGGTCGGACCTGGTGTCCGGTGGCCAGTTCTGACACAGAATTGGTCTATGCTTGGCATCTCTTTACCTCCCAATAAACAAATCTTGCTGCAACAAGAGTGTCATGAGAGTGATTGAGTCCTGGACCTGACACCTTCCTCCTCTGCACTGTGCTTCTGCATCCTGGCCCCAACTGGACCTTGTTTTGTAACACCCCTCCCGCCTGATATAAGAGCGAGTGGCAATGTTCCCTCTAAGCTGTGGAGTCTTCTGAGCAAAAATTCTACTTTGTGAGCTCCTGGCATTAAAGTTGTGAGCGAGCGATTTGGCTACTGCATCAATTAGTTTGCTCCGGAGCCCTCCTTCCTGAGCCAAGACAACAATGGGTGAGCCGGAGGCTAAAAAACAGTGAGTTAGCTCACACCAACTCAGCTTAGAGAGAACACTGGTGGGTGGATCTTCATTCTTGCTTGTATCAGACAAAGTGAGCTTTCACTCACAATAGCTTATACCCTGGAAAATGTTGTTGGTCTCTCAGCTGCTAGCATGCTTGAGTTTTGTTCCATTAAAGTGGGCAGTGAAGGTACTAGGTGTTACTAAACTTTCACTAGCCACTTTAGTACATCTGATAAAGGCGGGTGTTCTTACATAAGTACCTGTTGTGATAAATGTATTAACCACGGTGCACCAAATTTGTTCTGTTCTTGTAATATGACATTTTTTAACATAAGAAAAAGGTACTTTTATGCATGTTGTCTTGTGGCAAAATCACTGTAGTGTCTCTTCTACCATGAATATTTTTGTTCTGGAAGGTACAGTATTCCAGTCCGGATGATATTTTCCCCAATCTCTCTTCCCTGCCTGATGCAGAAAGCAAGTGTCCATTTTCCTTATGGTCTTTTCCCGTCACTGCAACCATCACAGATCCTTGCATGGCTGTGGTGTTTAAATAGGGTCTTCGGGTAGGAATTGCAAAACATGCTCTCTTCAGGCATTTCATTTTTTACATGTACACATTATTATGTCTAGCAAGACAGGCACATCCTATAAGAACATAAGAGACGCCAATGTTGGATCAGGCCAAAGGCCCATCCAGTCCAACTCTCTGTGTCACACAGTGGCCAGAAATACCAGTGCCATCAGGAGGTCCAGCAGTGGGGCCAGGACATTAGAAGCCCTCCCACTGTTGACCCCCCCCCCCAGCACCAAGAAGACAGAGCATCACTTGCCCCAGAGCCCCTATGAGGAGCAAGGCATGGTTTCTCCTCCAGCAATGAGCATAGCAAAAAAGACAGAAAGTATTGTTTAAACCAAGCTATTGAGTTGCTGTCAAACCCATGAAATCGCTGCAAAGTAGACACTGCTGCAGTGTATATGCCCGACTTTTTTTTTCCTTGCAGGAAGGTTATATTCATGTAGTTAAAAATGTCAAGAGTGAAATTACTCTAATTTTCAACTCAATGCAGAACAAATCTGTTTGAACAACACAATTTGCAATGCAGAACAAATTTGAACAACACAATTTTCATCCCAGTTTACATCCATTTAGTGAATCTGAATTAAGCTCATCTTTGATTCAAATGATGTCGTTATAGGACCCTGTTTGCTTTATTACACTTTTATCCTACATTTTTCCTTCAGGGACCACAGGGTGCTGACCGTAATATTCCCATCCCATCCTGAGCCAGTTTGGTGTAGTGGTTAAGTGTGCGGACTCTAATCTAGAAGAACCAGGTTTGATTCCCCACTCCTCCACTTGCACCTGCTGGATGACCTTGGGCAAGCCGTAGTTCTGTCAGATCTGTTCTTGAAAAGAGCAGTTTCTGTCAAGAGCTCTCTCAGCCCCACCCACCTCACAGGGTGTCTGTTGTGGGGAGGGGAAGGAAAAGGAGTTTGTAAGCCGCTCTGAGACTCCTTTGGGTAGTGAAGGGCGGGGTATAAATCCAATCTCTTCTTTTCGGAAGGCAGCATGGTATAGCCCGATCTCATCAGATCTCAGAAGCTAAGCAGTGTTGGTACTTGGAAGGGAGATGACCAAAGAAAACTGCAGAGGAAGGCAACGGCCAACCACCTCTACTCCTCACTTGCCTTGGAAGCCCCTTGCTGGGGGTAGCATAAATTAGATTTATCTTAACAGCACTTTACACACAAACATTTTCCTTTCACAACAATGTGAGGTTAGGCTGAAAGAGAGAGTGACTGATGTGAGCTTCTTATCTGAGTGGGGATCTGTACATAAAGCTCTCTAGTCTTAATCCAAAGCCTAACCACGATTCCACAATGAGTTTCAATACTGATTCCATTCAGGTTGCAATCCTAAGAACACTGTCCTGTGAATAAGCCCTGTTGACTATAAATGACACTTTCTCCTCAGTAGACTTGCTTCGGATTGCTCCCACAGTGTTATAGCAGCTGCTGGCACTTAATGCCTTACTAATCTTGTGATTTGTGACAACTAGAAGTATTTATCCATATGACTATTTCCCCCTTCTATAGAACATTAGATCCTTAATGGGAGCAGAGCGAACCAAAGGATTTTGCCAGATTGTGGTGTCATCCACTGTCAGAGATGGAATTTCCCATTTGATACAGTCAGCTGGCCTTGGAGGGATGAAGCATAACACAGTCTTGATGGCATGGCCCCAGTCCTGGAAGCAGACCGATAATCCCTTCTCTTGGAAGAATTTCGTTGGTATGTACTACTGTGGAACTGGTGCAGTTATTGTAAAATCATGTAATGCAATAGGCGAAGGAATGGGCACAGGAGCCCTTCCATGTTTATTCTTACTGAACTCCCGGAAGGTCAGAACAACTCCTGTCAGATCTGACAGAGGCAGAGTTGCCTACTCTGGGTTGAAAAATTCCTGAAGATTTTGAGAACAAGGTTTGAGGAAGGGGAGGGAATTCAGCAAGTTATATGTCAGAGCATAGGTGTCAAACATGTGGCCCATGGGCCGGATCAGGCCCCTGGAGGGCTTCTATCAGGCACGCAGTGGAACTGGCTGTCTCCTGCTTCTTCTTCCAGGTCTGCTGCTGCTGCTGCATCCTAGTTTGCTTTGCCAGACTCTCTCAGTTGCTCAGGAGAGATAGATAGGCAAGCTTCTGTTCCCTGCACTGGCTGAGGCTCCTCCCTCTCCCCCTTCCAGGAGGAGAGAGGGAACGAGCCAGAGCTTGCTTCCTGGCCAGGCTGCCTCAGTCGCACAGGAGAGAAAGTCAAGCTTTTCTTCCCTTCCATTGGCTGAGGCTCCTCCCCAGAGGGAGGGAAGGAGGGAGAGCTTGCTTTGCTTGGCTGCCTCAATCGCAGGGGAGAAATGCAAAGCAACTTTAAGACCAACAAAGTTTTATCCAAGGTATGAGCTTTTGTGTCCCTTGCTACAGTGTGTGAGTTTTGGGGGGCTTGTTATGCTGTGGCTCTCCTGGGTGCAACTGGGTTCCCTCCCCCTTTTCACTTTCATGCCCTCATAAACCAATCTTGCTCAGTAGGAAAGCATTGTGAACTATTTAGATGAGGAATAACAACAAGCCAGTGACGTGGATTATGCTAAGAGTATGTGTCTAGACCAAGTTCACCCAGCACATTTCCATAGGGGATTTTGAACTTAGACTTCCCAGATAGTAGGCTGATACTGACCACTGAGGAACACTATAGTTTTGTAGCCCTCAGTCTGTGTCATGGTGCCGTCTCATGTTCTTGACCAGCACAGAAAGCAGTTTATGTACAAAAGCTTGTAATGCCCAGACACTTCATGTTTTCCTCTGGGTCCTAGGCTCAGAACTCTGAGCATGAGATTTCTGTAGCGAATGTCAATAAATCAATAGTAGATTTGCAGGTTACAGATACACACTTGAACAGCATACTCAAGATTGCAACAGCACAGACATTTTGATGCAGTAATTCAGAGCAAGAGGTGTCAGTCATCAGACACTGTTAAATGAACAAAATATTGCAAGAGTGCTAATGTTTTAAGCATGTTTTTGTTTTAAGTAAAAAAAAATCTTTGTGTTTGTGTCCTTTATAAAGTTTATATGTCTGCTACCTGACATTACTTTTTATGACCCACATGGCCCGGCCCAACAAGGTCTTAGACCATTTATGTCAGATCCGGCCCTCATAACAAATGAGTTCGACACCCTTGTGTCAGAGAGTCCATCATCCAAAGCCGCCATTTTCTCCAGAAGAACTGGTCTCTGCAACCTGGAGATCAGTTGTTTCCATAAATTGCGTATTTGTCTACTGATGTTAATTTGAGTGAAAATGGGGGCTAGAACTGTTAGCCCACCATTTTGGATCAGCCTTAAATAGCTCGTTAGGGATTAGATCAGAGCTTGGATTTTTTTCCTACTTTTAATCCCTTGAGAAGACAAATGACCTCCTTAACTGATACCTCGGACGAAGATGCTGTTTCATCAAGAGTAATAAGAAAGGATGTGCTCAGTGTACTGGAACTAGTGTCGGAGAATAGCTTCTTGAAATAGTTTTCTGATGTCAGAGGGGCCGTACAGCATGGCTTTTTAGAGGCTGGGTTTATGGCAGTATTGGTGATAGACCAGAAGGCCTTATTATTGTTGTCATTAATAGTTGAAATGAGATATCCCCATTCCTTATTAAGGGCCATCCGTCTCCTCATTTTAATCAGTTCTGTGTACATTTTCATCAGTTCTTGATGGGCTGATACTGTACAGTTACTTTTAAACTCACGATGCTTCTGTTGCCTCTGCCTTGTCATTTTTTTACAGTCACTATTAAACCAACTATTCCTCTTAACTTCGGAGGGTGTCCTATCAAGGTTCTTTTTCATGTAAAGGGGTCTGAACAATTTTAATACCTCATCCAAATTATGCAAACAGTTAAGCACTGAATCAGACTGCAAAACCCTGCTAAGAGTATTGCAAGGAATAATGGAGCCCATTATGGCTCGAGCCTTGTAACTAGAGATGGAGCTCCATTTATGTGTAAATGATGTAGCAACAATCTTTAATGACTTAGCTGAGATTGGGGGTGCCTGTTTTGCTTTACGCAGATGATATCGTGATCTCGTCCCGGACTAGTGTCAGGCTGCAAAGGTCTTAAAATCTTTTTTTCTGATGATTGCTTTCGAGAAAGCCTGGTGATGAACTAGTTGAAATCTTAAGATCCAAGTTTTCACCAAGACCAGAAAATGGAATCCGTCTCAATGACCTACCAAGGGGTCCAATATTGAGCAAGTCAAGGCTCTCTCCTGCTTGGGGATCCTTTTTTCAGCAGATCAGTAGAATCACACAGAGTTGGAAGGAGCCACACAAACCATGTAGTCCAACCCCCTGCCTAATGCAGGATCGGCCTATAATATCCCTGACAAGTATAAGGAGATTGTCAGCCGCTCTGAGACACCTTTGGGTAGTGAAGGGCGGGGTATAAATCCAATCTCTTCTTTCTCACAGGGTGTCTGTTGTGGGGAGGGGAAGGGAAAGGAGTTTGTAAGCCGCTCTGAGACTCCAAGTGAAGAGCGGGGTATAAATCCAATCTCTTCTTCTTCTTCTTCTTCAACTTAGAACAGCACTTAATAAAGCTAAACCATGCACAAGCACTATAAATAGGTTCTTTCACAATTTATTTATTTATTTAAATTTATAACCCGCCCTCCCCACGAACTTGCTCAGGGCGGCGTACAGATGGGGCCAATGCCCAATACATAAAACATTAAACTGCATTTAAAAACATTCAATACAACTTAAGTGCTCACCATAATATCTAACAAGGGAACAGACGACGTCATCAGGATAGTATCCTTAGTGGCCACAGCTTCACGCAGTACCACCATTTTAGCGCTCACAGCGAGTTGGTAATAAAGGGCTGGGACAGATAGTAATAGTCGTAGACAGATGGTAACAGTCGTGGCGGCTCCTACTCAAACGCCTGGCGGAAGAGCTCCGTCTTACAGGCCCTGCGGAACTGTGCATAAGAAGAGGCGGAAGTATATTCCTGGAGCGGCGCAGGCTTTTAATTTGAAAGTGGTTCCCCCCATCCTTTATGGCTCAGCTGTTTGGATTAAAGGTATCTCTGATAACATCGATCAACCCTTAACCCAATTTTTAAGGAAAATATTGAATATCCCCTGCTGTGCGTCAAACGCTGTTTTGTAGGCAGAATTTGGACAGATATCCTTGGAGGCCAGCGCACACCTTTATGCCTCCAAACTGAGATTAAAACAGCTCTGTGCTGAAGATGGTTTGTTAGACGCTCTAAATCGAAATCGACTTGGATGAAAGCCCTGGATGAGAAACTGATGATAGTTGGAATGTCAATTAATGACATCTTTGAGATGGGCAAACCCAAAGCATTTTCTCTGATCAAAAAGAATGTCCTAGAAATCGATTATAGTGGTCTGATCCTGAGAGCCTGCAGAGTTTGCTCACCCTCCCCTTGGTCTTTCTCCCCTAAGATCTTTAACCCCCACCCCCACCCCATGTACTATCTTACCATCCCACATAACTGTAGAGCTTTTTTCATTGCAAGATTTAATATTATACCTACAATGGTTTTCTGGGGAGATTTTCTAATAGGTGCTATTCTGGCAGAATCTGCCCTTGTGTCCTTAATAGGATAGACGCATCCTTCCGTGCCCTGCTTGAATGCAGGTTCTTTGAGAATAGAAGGGACCACTATATTAAGCCTTTAATCAACCCTACACTCTGGAAACGCTGGCTCTTTTGCTCAGTGATAAGGATCCTAAGTTTACTTTAGCAAACTGCAAAATTTGTCTCAGTCCTTTTAGCCCTTGCATTAAAAAAAGTAGCAAGTATCTTCTGCGGCTCAAGATCTGTGAATCAATTAGCTTTTAAGGGTATAAAAGGAAAGGAGTTGTAATTCCTGGCGCTCTCCAGCCACCCTATGCAGAGGAGACCTTCCTGCAACTCTCTCATGCCTCTGTTATCCTGAAAAACGGCTCTTCAGAGGGCCACAACCAGTGGAATAGTAGCTGCAGAGAAAGCAGCCTCTTCCTCAGACTCCATGTTAGAGGCAGTGAAAACTGCTGCCTCTTTGCTCTGGTCAGAAGCCATTTTGGATTTGGCCTGTGCCGCCTGTGAGGCCTTCCTTGCTGTTGTTGTTTTTTCCTCCTGCCAGCTTGAAATGCCTCTGAACAGTCTCAACATATGCCCAAGATGGAAACACGCACGATACTGTCCAATTCAGATCAACCCAGTGGAAATGAGGGCCGGATTATAGCGGATTGGGTCTTCAAAAGCCCAGAGGCTGCTCAGCCATGTTGTGTATGGCTAGGAGGCTCCTCCACACTTTTAATAAGTGTTAGGCTTATGAGGCTGTAGCATTCTAACAGCAGCCCAGATAGACCGGACTGGACTAGCCCTCTCTCATCCAAGCTCAGGAACTAAGCAGGGCTGGGCATGGTCCGTACTTGGGCGGGGGGCCACCGAGGAATGCGGGGGCTGCTATGCAGCGGAAGGCTCCTCTCTTGCCTTAGAGATCCCCGCCTCGAGTCACCAGAAGTCAGCTGTGGACTCGGAGGCTCACTTGACCTTCAGCAGTCTGACGTTTTGAGATGTTCCTGATTCTTTTTTTCAGACACTGTACGAGAAACTACAGCTGCCCAGCAAGCCCTTCTGGTCGCCAAAAACATCGATTTGTTTCCAGCAAACCAGGAGCGTTTTAGTGAGGGCCACATAGACGTGTGGTGGATCGTTCATGACGGCGGTATGCTCATGTTGCTTCCTTTCCTACTGCGACATCACAAGGTATTTACGTTTGTTTTAGTTGGTACATTTTGCTTCTCAGTGAGCACATTTGAACTGCAAGCTCCTAGGGAGAAGGAAGGATACTCCATGAAACACCAAACACCTTGATAGTGCTACATAGATTTATTTTTATTTTTTTGCTTAGAAAGTTTTACCGTAAACATCTTTATCTCCATAACTATGTAGCTGTAACACTGGCCTACCTTACAGGGTTAGTGGAAGAACTACTAAAAGCAGGGAAAGCACTCTGGCCATTCTAAAAGCGCTGCAACAAACACTAAGCCTTGTTACTAGAATACAGGAAGGAGATTCAGAAAAACTGGGGAAGCGGTGGAGAAACCCCCCCATTACCATCCGCGACCCGCTGACTTTCCCTCCAGCCGATAGTGCTACATAGATGATATCCATTCCCTCCCGTAGTAAAGTGGGTGCCAATCATGAAGTCAGCCAGACTGGGCTGCCCAAAGGGAGGAAGGGTGTTTCCGCTTGTCCAGGGGAGCCCCAGATATACAGAAAAATAGGGTTCTTTTTC